GTTAGCCATATGTCATATGGAAGCCTCCCGCCGCAAGAAAAATATAGCCATTCTTGTCCTTCATCAAACTGGTCAAAGAAGGGAAGCCAATAATGAATAAATTTCAAAATTCTAAAGTGGTCTAAAGATTTCATGCATGTCTTAAGTGGCTCCATTTTCTGTTAGTCTGGATAAGATCTTCTTCCTCTTCCTCCTCTTCCCCTTTACAGATTGCTGCTATGGGTTTATATCAGCTTTTTATGAAAGCATTAGAAAAGAGTATCTACCATAATTTCCTTCACTTACTAGGTCCTTATTCTTCCTTTCCATCCCTTTGCTTACTGCAGCTCCTCCCAACATGCCGGCGTCATTTCAAAGCTTTAGTATACATTGTTCGAGCACTGAACTTTTATATTTTGTTCATGAAGACTTGCCCATTAACACATCAATATGGATTTTCCTGATACTGGGTTAAGCATTACACAATAACACATTGTGTAATGTGCACATTACATAATACACACATTCAGAGGTGGTATTCAGCAGGCTCTGACCAGTTCTGGAGAACTGGTAGCGGAAATTTTGAGTAGTTTGGAGAACCGGCAAATACCACCTCTAACTCTCCCTGCCCCCATCTATTCTCTGCCTCATGAGTCCCAGCTGATCGTCTGGGTCTTCTTTTGTTGCCCTGCACAGGAGAACAGAGCTGGAAAGCAGGTTAATGGGGTGGGGAAGGAATGGGGATTTTGCAGGAACCTTCCCCTGCCACACCCACCAAGCCACAGCCACAGAACCAGTAGAAAAAAAATTGAATCCCACCACTGGACACATTACATACGTGCACATTATTTTCATTCCATTTCAAAATTCAGAGATTAAGTTGCTTGCATACTGGCAGTACCTTATTAATATTGGACATAGCCCATCAATAATGTCAGAATTAAAATAAAATTTAAATTAAGCATGTCTTAATCCTCTGAATTTAAGGCACTTGTAAAATGCTTAAATTTGGCTGGGTTGTATCCAATATACTGTATTGTATACTATAGCTATATATTACCACAAAAATGCTAAATTACTTACCACCACCCTTTAGATTGAGAAATTCTACTATGTTAACATAGGAGAATAATTCCTGGGTTTACCTGAACCAGATGTCTTTTTAAAAGATGTTTTTTAAAAAGATCCATAATGTATAAAGGAAGTTGTCCTATTGGGCTGCTACACTGAACTCTTAAATCATTTGTGGCAGTCATTTGTGGCAATGTGCAAATTTTATAGGACATCATAACTTTATGAAAAAAATTGGAAAATGAACCAAGAATTAAGAAAAAATAGATTCAGAAGTAGCAGATTTATCTACTGTTGTAACCAATGTCTACAAATGGTTTGTGGAGCCATTCTGTGGAAATTATACCTGCCCAAAGTAGTTTAGAATCAGCAATGAAAGCATTTCTAGCTGTTTCTTTTTTATAGAGAAATTCTATTGTTATAAATTTTGAACATGGAGTGCTGTCTCCTGCAATTGGTTTATGATAATATGAAATCTTCTGCAGATGTGTATTTTTTCCTATACCACATTTTTTTTTCTTAGTGCAATCTTCCATTATTAGGTTGCTCTGATCACCTCTCATCTGCTCATTCAACATTTTTAAAAATTATTTTTTCTCAGCACATTTACAAAGCTCCATAGGTGTGTCTGCATAAAGATTATAAATAATTAATACCAATTTCTGTCAGCTTCATTTTTTAAAATTAAGGTGCATTCATAATGAAAAATGTAGAATCAATAAACATAATTTTGCCTGTTAAGTATCCAAAATTAGCTCGAAATTTACACATCCTCTTTTCTAAAAATCAGTTTGACTTTAATTATAGGTTATCCTTACTTGTAAAGTGTTCTATATATTATGTAATGTAATATATTTTCATCTAAATATGCAGAAAATGAGAGCATGCATGTTTGGTAATAAGTTGTAGCAATGAAAAAAATCCATTTGAAATAATTTGTAGTTACATTCTGTTTAGGTGGAAACATACTGTTCTCTTTATGGCCATGTTTGATCAAGTAGAAAATACTTGAAAAAGTAGCAAATGGAAGCGATAAGTATTTATAAAATTTTGCACTTAAAAGGGTTGGGTATCATCACCATGCTGATAATTGCCAGTTATCTCAACTCATGAATGTATGTATGTTTTTATGTATATACATATGTTTAAATTGATTTATAGTCATTCACTTCACTAATGCAACTGTGGATTGCTAGTAAGTTTTAAAATACAATATAAAAATACCTATTATGACCAACTAAAGCATCCAGCTGCTGAAGATATTATATAGCAACAGTACAGGCTATTCTACAGAACACCAGTTATTGTACTGACCCCATGCCTGGGAAGCAAAATCTTCAAAGCTTTCCAACAGATGGTCAGAGTCAGAGCTAACCTACTGTATATGCGGGCAGTATGTTGCAGAAGTCAGAAGCAGTTATGGATAAAGCATGCTTCCAGGGTCTTGCTATACAACAATACTTGATTGTAAGGATTCAGAGCGTGCCTATCTTGCCCGAACTAATGGGATGGGTAGAAACATTGGAAGCAAGGCAGTCTTCCAAATCTCTTGGCCCCATGCCATCTAAGGTTTTATATAGGTAGTAACCAGCAGCCTAGAAGCATATTGGGAGCCAACATGGCTTACAAGACAAAAATGTAACACGGTGTAATCATTTGACACATGGGCATAGAATGGAACCATGCAACCACATGTTGGACCAATTGGAAGTTTCTGGATGCTCTTCATGGGTAGCTTCATATAGATTGCACTGCAGTAATTCACCTGGAAAGTGACTAAGGTATGAGTAACCAGACCTCACGCCTCCTGATTCAGGATGGGTACAATTAAAGTAGTTCAACTCCCCGCAACCCACCCCGGCCACCAAACGTGAGCCAGGACAACCTGAAATTGTATGCTGGTTCTGTCTGGAGTACTGCAACCCTTTCCAGAACTAATGTAAATACTGTGTAACAATAGATCAAATTTGAGAGGTCCTAAAATCCAAAGCCAGTCCATTTTGCTAGGGTTGAACTGAAGCCCATTCATCTAGATCCCCATAGCCTCCAGTCACTGGAACAGAACCTTTACAGCCTTATCAACATACTGATGATTCCTTATCTACACGTCACATATATGTGAGGAGTCAATCTCTAAAGCATCCAACACAAGAGACCCAGGGAGCTGATATGTCCTCCCCATCAACGTTAACCAGGATTGACTTCAAAGGAGAAGCAACGTAATTGTGCCCCTCAACTCCTAACCCTTGGAGCCAGAAAGATGTCTGTTGGTATCAAAACACACTGAGATCAAGGAAAGCAAGGACAGCTGCACTACCCCCAGAGGTCATCTGTGTGATAAATGCTTTTTTAGTCTCAAACTCTGACTTGAAACCAAGCTGAAACAGTTTGGATAATCTGTTTCATCCATTGACACCTGAAGGTACAAGGAAACCATCTTCTCAACAACTTTCCCCCAAAAGGGAAGGTTAATGGCAGAAAATGAGTCTAGGGATGGCTTCTGAAGACAATAATGGTGGAACTGCCCCCTGCCTCAAGGATTAAATCACATGACCCAGACTCAAGCATTCTCTTGGACAACATTGGCTAGTCAAAATGTATATTAATCTAATATCAAGGTGACTAAAGTTACAGCCCCAAGAAATTGCATCTAGGTGATTAAAGTTATACCCTGAGCTAGGATGTCCTCAATTCAACTTTATGGATTCTGCACCAGAGCCCAACATGAAGTGAATTATCAGTATGTGAATGCAGAGGGAGTCTGATAGAATCGAACAGGCTTAGGCTCGACACTAGAAAGTCTACATAATTATGGATTTTGGGGCTACCAAGCTTCAGAGAGATTTTGTTAGTTCTGGATAAAGATGTAATACCCAAGACAGAATTTGTGCACAATTTAAGAGTCCTTATACATGCCTAGCTCCTATTTGTAGGCCTTTGTGCAAAATAATATTGTGTCTGTTTCTGGACTGGGGGATTGTATTCAGTCATTCACATCTTCAGGATCTCTCATTTGGTCTACTTCAACATGCTGTCTATGACTGTCCAGAATTCAGCAGAACTATGAGTACATCTCTGTACATCCATGTAACATTGCTACAGAGCTGCACTAACCCATGTTTCCCGAAAATAAGACAGAGATTTATATTAATTTTTGCTACAAAAGATGCATTAGGGCTTATTTTCCAGTAAGGTCTTATTTTCAGGGGAAATGTGGTTACTTAAATGCATCTGTTTGGCTGATCTTAACTGGGGTTTTATTTTGGGGGAAGGGCTTATATTACGAGCATCCTCAAAAATTATGCTAGGTCTCATTTTCTGGTTGGGTCTTATTTTCGGGGAAACATGGGATTTACCAATGGGCTTCTGGCTTCATTTCAAGGTGTTAATAGTCACCTATAAAACCTTTTGGCACAGGATGGGCCATGAGTGTTTATGGGACTGCTTCTCCTATAAGAACCAATAGGGCTGATGTTCTGTAGATCCCATAAAAAACACATTACGGGGTCCAGAGGGGATGCTTTCTATGGCAGCTCCTTTTCTGAAATTCAGTTGTCTCAAACCCTGACAATCTTTAAAAAGGAGCTTAAGTTCCGATTCACTCTGAGGCACTGGCTCAATTGTAAATATATGAGTTGGGCGTCTGGCCCCACCATCATATACTTTGTTTCCTTTGTTAGATGTCTTTAACCCTTGCTGATCACCTAGGAAGTGGACAGTCATATCAATGAAATAACAAATTAGTATTTCTTTATTGTTCTGAAAGACAGTTCAAACTGCTGTATTTGAAGACAAATATATAACAATTTTATTGAATTTTTTATGATCTTAAAACTTTAGTAACTTTTACAACATCATTTACTTTCATAATTCCGTTTCTCTAGCCTATGACATAGTCCAGTGCATTAAATAAGAGTGGAAGCATTTTTATTGGTTCTTGGTCCATCAAATTATACATGCACATTCCCTTCCTCTAGATTTCTGCAATCATTCACCAAACCATTCAAAGAAAATTCATTTAATTTTAGCACTTTTCTGTCTCACATTACCTAGTTAATCACTTTTTAAAGATGTTTGGTGAATGAGGTTATATAGCGTTTGATTGTTTCAAGTTCACATTTTTAGTATTCTGAGTGAATTTTGCTCTCAACAGAAATTGTGCTTTCAAAACCTATTTTTTTCACTTATAATGTAGTTAGTTAACCCTTGGTTCAGAACTAAGGTTAAATTACATGAATAATCAGAAATTCCTAATCAACAGATTTGCATATTTTCCATGTGTAATTAGCCACAGTGGGGTCAAAAATATGCCTGCACTGTAAGGAAATCTATTTTTTGTTTATGGTCCCAACAAAAATAATTTAGCCCACATATTGTTTAAATTAGAAGATAAAATCTCACTGGTGTCAGTGGGAAGGCAAGGTGGTGTACAGTTAGTCCTTGTCTTACGATGGGAAGTGAGACCAGAATTTCTGTTGAACAATGCAGCCATAAAGTATGACATCATTCGGGGATGGTAATCCCCAGTCACAGCTGATGTTATTAACTGAATCCCATGACCGTTAAGTAAGGCAACTTCCTGATGGTTCCTACAATCAAAGTCAATGGGAAATCTGTCAGGAAGCTGCAAGTCCCAGGCCTGCAGGCTGGAGGAAAGAGCAAGAGTATGTGCAAGGATGTGGGGAATGGTTGGGGAAGGTACACTAGAGTCACACATGTGGGTTGAGAACGACGTATGAACAGGCGAGAGGCAATCCGCAGGTTGGATGTGCAAGAGGCACAGTGCTGTTCATGGAAGGTGCATGGGGTGCATGTAATGAGAATCACACAAGAGTGGAAGAAAATGCTAAGATGTGCTGTGGGTCAGGGAAGGTCCATAGATGGAGACTTGTAACCCGCCTGCCAACTTCCAGACTGGCTTTCTAAGGAAACCAGCAGGATAGCTTGCAAATAGCCATTATGTGATCACAGAGTGCTTCGCAACCAGTTTTAAGTGTGAACAGGTTGCCAAGCATCCAGATCACTATCGTAAGAGTACAAATGGGCAGGTTACCGACAGTCAGAACTCTATGGATTTGTTGAGGACAACTTGTAATTGTTAAAAGTGCCACCAAAGGATCAGAAAACTCCATACAGTATGTATTCATACAGTAAATATGTATTCTGAGCTGCAGTGGGGTGACTCTGGGACACTCACTCACAAATTTGCTGGTGTGGATTCAGAGGAATGTAATATGTGTCACCGTGAATTCCTGGGGAAAAGGTGAGCCTTAAAGGAAGAAACTTTTCACTGGCACCAAAAAAATAGACTGGAGAATTTCTAGATTCTTCCATAGTTTTTGTTTTGCTTCTCCCTTTTCCTACTGGGACTGCTTAATTTTATCCTCAATTTGATTTGGATTTGAAAAATGCCTCCTAAGACCTTATGTCACAAGAGGTTTGTTATTTTAATGTGCCATAAGACTCTTTGGTATTATCTCATTTGTATTCTAAAGTCTTAAAAACTTACTTGGCTGAGCAGGGTTTCTCTCCTACATATAAATTAGCATTGTATTTTCCTAACAGAAATAACCTCTAAATAGGATTAGAGTCTGAAGTGAGGTGAAGCCAGATTTAATAGAGAAGCATCTTGAACAGTGCTTGACAGGTTTTCTCACTGGGAGTTAGAAAGGCATTTTTAGATGTAGGGGGTGAGTAATCTTGTACCAGAGCTGCGTCCCACCATCCTAAATCCCTATCATTGTAATTAACTGCTATGTTCTCTAGGGATGAATGTAACAGATCTAGAAGCACTAAACTGACAAAACCTATTACCTGAAAAATACCCATTAGGGGCCTAACCCCTGAGGCAATTAGAAACTATCTGAACCAAGATCTATAATCCGGTTTATAAATCCCAGGTTACTTCATAATTGACACTGTAATTCTTGGGTTGTAAATGTTACAATGCATAGTGCTCACTTACCTGTTCAAGAAAACCTTCTGAATTAGCAGAATGGCTGCAGTTACAGTGGCCAAACTCCAGAAACTAGTGATCAACTGAACAATTCTGGGCCCACTGGAATCAACACTGATGACCACTATCCACATGTGTTCCAGTTAACAAAATAAAAACTACACAAGAATAGAGGAAGTGGCTCATTGTATTCTTTTATTCCTCATTTTAAAATGGCTAGTCATAATAAAAATAAAAGTGTGGATTAACGGAGGCCACAGTTTAGCTATTGCCATAGAGAAAGATTCAGTAGAGACTTAGACCGTTGGATTCTTGGGTTACTGATTTCTACTGCCATGGGCTTTTACATGTGATGAGAGATTTTTGGCATATGAAAAAATATTGCTTTTTGGTTAGTTTTTTTCTCTCTCTTTTCTTTCTCTTACCCAGTTTGGTAATAAAGAACTGTGCCACCACAAGAAATTCACATGGAGCATTTCATAAAAGCAAGGTAAAAAACACAGGAAACCACTTGGGAGGATTTACCAAATGTAAATAATATCTCCACACAAGGGACTCGGGCCCACTGCTACCCTTTCCATTTAGCACCTTAATCCAAGGCTGTAATGATACATAATGAATATTTCACATGCTTCCTGGTTTAGAGAGAACAACCTTTGCTCTCTGGGCATCATTCGGAAAGAGATTTGTCTGGATATTGAAAAAGTATGAACCCAAATTTTTCCCTAGTTTTCCTAAACCCTCCAAGATCTTCAGGAAAAAAAAAAATCGTGGGAAAATTTTCAACACCACAACCCAAAGATAGTAGATACCACGTGGTGCCTTTGTAAGCTCCCTCCTGGAACAAATCCGCCTGTTCATGCTTGGCCAGAGACAGAGATGACCAAGCCAGATCAAATGTCGTACTGGCATTTCTTCAGCCCTACTGGGGTAGTGGTTTTGCGGTGGTTTTCACTGAAAGTGAACCAAATGGCTATTCTGCTCTATCCCACCAGATTCTCCTGAATGTGGCTTATACATGGTTTCCTTAGGCCCAGCTGATGACATATGACTAGGCCTGCCTCCCTTACTTATGGGTAGATATAATTTCTTTTTCTTTTTATATTTATATATTTATAGATATTTATATATACACACACCCAGTAACTCAGAAGAGGAAAAATATAGAATCCGTAGTAATAATAAAAAAAAATTAAAAATGATCAACCCCTAGCGCACTAGGCGAGCGATTGCACAAGGTCCACAAATTTAACTGTTCTGTTGGTAGCAAGACAGGCTACAGCCTGCACTCTCTTCTGTGCGAGGAGGCTGACACCAAGTCTTCCCCTTCACTCTCGGCAGTGTGCGACAAACCGCAGTCCCTTGGTGACTGAGAGGGAAGAGTGCAGGCTGTGGAGGTGAGCAAGGCCGAGATCCCATTGTAGTGTTTAGAAACTCTCTCCGGTAGTTTAGTTTTATTGTCCCCTCTGTTCTCCCACCTACCGAAACCTGGATTTATTTCTTTATTTTTAAAAGTCCATGCACGTGATGGAGCAACCATTTGCCGAGCAACGTCCATGCCACCCGCTCATCAGGGACAGGACGCATGGAAATCAGCCAAAGAGGAGTAGACAGTGGGGAGATCAGCTCCTCATACAGAAATCTCATATGTGGTCCCCCCCACTCCAGAGACTTTCTTGACTCCTCCTCGAGTGGGACTGTTGAGAGGTGGCTGGCCAGGGATGGGTGAGGTTGAGCCCAGAGTCCTGGGCTGTCCATTAGACTTGCTGTAAGAGGGTCTCATCTGCACCTCGTCTCTGGGAAAAAGGAAGGATACAAGGGCATCAGGAAGTGAGCACTCATTCAATGGCAATGGAAATGGAGGATGCCTCACACGCTGATAGCTTAAGGAAGGAAAATCTGGAATACATATTGGCATTGCCTGGGATGCAAAGGGAAATACAACAGCAGTGGATTGTCAGCCCACAAAGAACTGACAAGGCAATACAAATATTTTAGCATCCTGGGACGGTGAAGCTAAACACAGAAGAGAATAGGACTCTACACACTGGGAATGCCACAGTTAGCCAAAATACAGCACTGTATGGAAGGGATAAAAGAAAGTGTACTACAGACCAAGAAAGGGTTGCAGGAAAGGGCACATATATCAAAAGGACTATTTCTTATAACCTGTTCCATCTGCTTTTTGAGTGTGGCCTCAAAAGTATCATAAGAATACACAAAAAATAGGGAAGAGAAACACAGAAAAATAGGAGGATGAATTGTATCAGTGTTCTTACATATGAGGTAGTAATCAGGCAGGCAATATAAAGATTCAAGCATCTCATATGAAAGCCAATGACCATCTCACAGACCCATACAGCTCACAAAAAGGAATGTGATACTATGCAATGTACCCTGCATTATAGAGCTAAGGGTGAGGAAATGGATTGGTTCACACACTGGAGAATGGGAAGGAAAAGGGAGGGAAGAAAGGGACAGACGAGAGCAGACACTATCTGTAGATCACTCCCAGCCGTGTCTTTCAGATGTTGCTGGAAGGAATCACAATTATCTTGGAATCCTTTGCCAGAGGAGTGATGGGGCAGATCTAAATGTGGTTCATCCTCCACTAAGTCAAGGAACACTTAAAGAATGAGACAAGTGTCACTTGTACTTACTTTGGTGCCAGTAAAGGCTGCAAGGCCACCTCCTCAGTCTCTGGGACGACAGCCTGAGGCGACTGTTTTTGGCTGCTGTAAGACATAGATTTGCCCATGTGAGAGGATGAAAGCTGGTCGGGTGAGCCCAGCGCGCGCATTCTAAGTGCATGTGGTGCTTCTGGTTTGCCAAAGCGAGGTGCCACTGGGCGGGTAAGCGGGTTTTTGCCCAAAGGTGAACGTTTTGAATCATCCGAAGAGGAACTCGTTCGTGGGGCATTGCTGGACCCCGGTGTAGACTGTATCCCAGAGTCCCCTAGGCCTGTATCTTCCTCTTTGGCCAGGGGTGGTGGCATAGATGACTGCTGTAGCAACTTCTCCCGTTCCTGCATGGAAGCCACAATATGGCGCGAAAGATTGTCATAGCGGACGGGGGAAGAATCACGAGGTTGCTGGTGCTTGGGTGAACCCGAGCTTGGAAAACGACTGTGCAAGTCAGCCTCCCGCTGTTGAGCAATACGGGCTGAAAGAAAAGGAGAAGTGTATCCCATGAGTGGGTCTGGCTCTGAACTTGCCTGCACAGACTCAAAATCAGGGCTATCAGAGGGTGTGAGAAGACTGTCATACGACAAACTCCCATTGCGTGTCTGGTTCACCAAGCTCTTGTAAGATGTGGAAGTAGTGCCTTCGGAGCGGATTGACTGAAGATGGCCCATTTCAAAGCCTGTGCCTTGAGCTGACTTGAGGCTGGAGGAGCGGGAACCACTGGATAGAGGATCAAAATGGAAACTCTTGCCAAAAGTGGGTGATCGAAAACTTTCTGGCTCCAGGCTTGGTTCTGAGCGGTAGCTGGGGTTTCGGCTGCTTTCAGCAATAGACGTTGGCTCCTTCAGACTGTCTCCTCGACTTAGCTATTATAGGGAATAAAAGAGGCAGGAGTCACTCGATAGCTTCCTAGACTGTGCACAGGAAATGACAAATAAAGTATGTCATCTTCTTCTTCAAGACATGCTATAGGCATATCAGAAGGAAAATAACTGTCTCAATATAGAGAAATATAGAGATTGATAATTTGCAAGTTATTCAAGTTACATGTTATAGTAACTTACTTACTGAAAATCGGCATAATGCAACACAATCCTGAATATTGAGTCCAGTATACACATATTTAAATTCTATCTCAGCTATAGATGCTGTGGATGAGATGGGTTTGGTTATTTTTCCAAGCCGAGTCTGTTATAATTATTTAATCAATTCATACAGTATCAAAATTGTACGTTAAGCCAGAATACAATAAATTTAAAAAAATCTGTTAAATACGTAATAAATCATACAAAACCTTAAAATATTTCAAATGTTTTACATAGCTAGTCTGATGATGAGACATCCTATATTGCCATTTGGGTGGGCAAGAAGGTAGAAGAAAAGGGATGCGGACAATTAGGGGAGCAAAACTATGGAAAAATATGCAGCCTGACTGCCTAACTTGGCTTCTGATGCAATCATGGTTAACAGATTCAAACTTGAGCAAGCAATGACTCTATAGTTGACAACAGCTGAAATTTTGTTAGATTTGTTTCTTGGATTTCTATCCCACTTTCATTCAGAAGCTTGAGGTGGATATACAGTGTTTCCTCTTTCTTGGAAGTAAGCTACTAGAATTTTGTAGAATTTCCTTTTGACTCAAAGGAGTTCACTATAAAACAAGGATGTCGAACTCGAGGCCCGTGGCTTTGCCAGCGAAAGGGGAGGGGCCCCATTTTCACTGACAGAGGGCTAGAAAAACAAACTAAATGCAAAATTAAACAAAAGGAGGAATGTTTTTCCTTTTACATTTGAGCATCCAAGAAGGGACAGGAAAGAAGAAAGGGAAGGAGAAAAGACAAAGAAAAAGAAGGAAAGAGAGCAAGGAAGAAAAAATAAGGCAAGAGGGGAAGGAAGAAGAAAAGAGAATGAAGAGGAAGGAAGGAAGGAAGGAAGGAAGGAAGGAAGGAAGGAAGGAAGGAAGGAAGGAAGGAAGGAAGGAAGGAAGGAAGGAAGGAAGGAAAGAAGGAAGGAAAGTCCTGCCTTAGCACTTGGCCACCAGCAGATGGCATGGCTCCTCTGGAGGACAAGGGTTTGGCACGTACTCTGGTCTCGCCTTCCTTGCTAGAGACAATGGATCCCCACCAGGGCCATCACACATGCCCCCAACACGAGTGATGACGAGCTGGCCATGCCCACCCCAGCCACCCCGAGGTCAAACACAACCCTGATGTGGCTCTCAATGAAATCGAGTTTGATACCCCTGCTATAAAAAGATCAACTTTTAAGAATATCACAATATTTCTGCTATTGTTTTCCTACATTTGTTAATATAATTAACCCTCTTAAAGTTACTTATATATAGCACTTTGGGCAGTTTAGGCCTCATGCAAGGAACTACAAACTAAAAATAGGAAGGAATGTTGATAAATAGCTTTCCCATTGCCTTTACTTGTCAAAAGGATAGGAAAAATGATCACATGACCCCAGGAGACTGCAACTTTCATAAATATGAGACAGTTACCAAGCCTCTGAATTTTGATCTCCTGACTATGGGGATGCTGCAATGGTCATAAATCTGAAAAATGATCACAACTCACTCTTTTCAGGGTCATTGTAACTTTGAACGGTCATTAAATAAACTGTTGTAAGTTGAGGACTACTTGCAGATATTATTTTAGAGTTCTGTATTTCTGGCATAAACTAAGTATTTTATACAGCACTAATGAGCAAAAGGATCTCTGGAAAATCTTCATTAACGCTCTCCAAAATCAAATGGTTAAAAAGTGTACCGCACAGTTCTAATTAGATTAACAGTACTGTTCTGAAATAAGAATTATATTTATATATGCAAAGTATTTCTCCTATACATTATTCAACACATGACTGTTTCAATTCCTTGATCTATCATTTTTTTCATCTGCTCCAATTAGTAGGTCTCAGAGCTCTAGTAAAAACTAAGGCAGATCTAACAAGTCTGAAGTGTGCCACCCTCACCCCCGCCTTTAGAACCAAATTCCCCTTCCAACACCTCGCTCTGTATGTTCATTTAACCACAGTCTATTCTTCATGTTAAGCAAGCTTATTTACCTTGGCACTGGTGGAGTGAGGCATTGCAGCTGAAGCACTGCTGCTAGTATAGCCAGGTCGATACTTATACATGGTTGGAGTTGGAGGGCTGTCCTTATTTAGCAAACTGCTATCTGTAAAGAGAAAGGGACTTATAGTAACTAAGTTTTATGCGTGCACGCACACACAGACAATTTGGGTTATATAAATAAATTTATACACATGCAAATATATTAGACGTATTAGAAATATTTATTGATCTATTATGCCCTCAAATATTATTTTCTCTCTGTCTCAGTTTTCAGAACTGCTGGATGGGAGGCAGTAGTCCTGATCTGAGAACTCAAATGAAAACCTGCAAAACAAAGTGTCGAATACATCCACCCATATTTTCCTATATATTATAAAACGCACAGATGTATAATATAGCCCAAATAACAACTAAGATCACATCTTTGATTTACTACAACAATTGAGCCCGGAATTTTGTTTTTTAAGTTATGTAATGTGAATTGTTGCTGTCATAAATCAAGTCACCACATGCCTGCATTTGATTTTACAGCTGTTTTTATTACAGTAGCTAAATGAATTGCATGGTTATTAAGTGAATCATGTGGCTGCAAGCATGAATCCAGATTGTCCAATTTTTTTGCCATTTTGATGGAAAATGGCAAAAAAGTCACAAAGTGCAATGTGACCATGGAATCCTGCAACCTGTCATAAATGTGAGATGATTGATCTCAATCATCAATGCGATCATGTGACTGCAAGGGCGGTGCAACTATCACAACTTTGAGGGCATTTGAGGTCTTAACACACACACACACACACACACACACACACGTATGTGTGTATTCTTCTTTTGAGAGTGGCCATCGTAATTTCATGTTAATGTATGCCACTGTGTACACAGAAAAGTAACAATAAAGGGTGTCTTGCTTTATCAGACCTTGCCTCAGCAGCATTATCAGCTGACCTTCCTAATTTCTTCTAAACTACTCATTAAGCTTTAAGTTCAATACCCACAAGCATTGCTACCTGGTTTTGCAGTGATGCTGGCGGTATTTCCCTGATACAGAAAACCACCCAGGCGCATAACCGACTGTGTCTCTCAAGCAAATCCCTCTTACCCTCATTGGTGGCCAGAGTTAAATGTGTCCTCAGACCTGTGTAGTGGCTGAGATCTGGTTTGGGTGGCGGTGGTGGTTCAGCATCAGCAGACTGGCTCTCTGTTACTTCAAGGCTTCCTTTGGACTGCAGAGGAAAAAAAAGCAAAGCACACTGGTACAATCGGAAAAATGGCAGGAATCCATGTTATGAATACTGGCCTTGGTTGGATAAAGGTGAGATGCTCTTAAAATGACCAATTACTCTTCCAGCATTTCCACAAATGTTTTTGTAAACTGTCCATGTATTAGTTGCTGGGTGAGAAATGAAAAGCAAAAACTCAATGATCTTCTAAGACACAACTTTTATGTTGTATTGGTTACACAGGAGGGAAATGTAAGTTCAAGTTCAACTCCTGAAGAAGCTAAAACAAGGAGTGATATTACTGAGGAATAATGCCTGAGGTAATCATTTAATACCTACTCACACTGCTGAAACCCCAAGAATAATTTGAAGCCGCTGCTTGTTGCAGCATTTTCATTTCCTCCTCACCTTTGTTCTCTTCAGTTCAGCCTGGATACCATTATCCATGATCTTCATAGCAACCTGTCCGTCTGATATTTCTGGCCGTAAGAATGGAGGCCTCACTAATACAGTCTGTTCTCCCTTTGGCCGCCCAAGATACCTAGTGAATAGTGAAAAGAAGATTTAAGACAGTGCTTTTAGTAAATTATTTATTTACATGGCTTAGCAAGGCAGTGTAATGTCAGAATAAGGTTTGAGATACATACATTTTGCAATCTGAATACATTTGTGTACAGGTAGTCCTCAAGATATGGCTGGTCTTTTAACAACTACCAGAGTTACGACAGCTGCCATAAAATGTGTCCACCCCCAGTGCTTTTTGATAGTTCATGGCAAAAACTGCTCATTTGCAGAATGGGTTAACACTTGGCATCAGCTACCCAAGCCCTGCTGTGCATACTCTACACCTCACCATCCACCTGCAGAAAACTCTTCCACCCAATAGCAAGCGTAATCTACCTGCTGGCAAGCCACCTGGGACTTGCAATTTCCTCTTGGCTTCCCCACTGACTTTATTGTTTGAAGCTGGCAGCAAGTTGTGAGAAGATACTCACTTAAAGACCCATGATTCTTGCTTTATCATGGCAACAGAACTGCAGGGATTGCTGTTGCTAAGTGATATGGTCACATGACATTGCCTTTATGACTGTATCACTTAGTGACTGAAATTTCAGTACAACTGCTATGGTAACTCAAGGACGACCTGTAATGTTGTTTTAAAGATGCAGAAAAATGATAGGAATGGAGAAGGGAGCAATGTGAGTTGTGTGGCTTACGGGGAAGGAAAGGGCCCTGATTCCCTTCATTAGTTGCAGCTGGGAAAACAGCGTTTAAAAAGGCAAGCTATGCACAGCAAAGTTGCTGGAAGCAAACCGTGAGTTATCTTTGTTTGTCGAGGGTTATCTGGGTTCCTGGCGTCTTCCCAACTGTGTGTGTTTTGTTGGCCTTTGAGTTCTGCAATTCCTTATTCTGCCCTGTCCAGTTAATTGCTGCAGCGTGGTTTGTATGGATTTTTATTTACAGGTTGTATGTACTTTGTTTTCAAACTGAATTTCCTCTACTTAAGGACTGTTCTTGGGAGAGTTTTTTCTCCAGCCAAAGGTAACTGGACATCGGGGGCAAAGTTGGAGGTATTAAAGGGACTTTTCTTACTTATGTGACTGTGTTGCCTTTGTGCCATGCCCCGGGTAATCACAGATTCCTAGTTGTACTGGTGTTTTACAGTTGTTAAAAAAATTAGAAACAAAGAATAAAGGACAAAAGCACAAAAACAAAGAAACCAAGGTGGCTAACATTCCCCTCCCCACAAAACTCCCCCTAAAACTAAACTTGGCAGTTTCTAGAAGTAAATAGAAATAATAAAGAAAGTAACAGATAAAATGGCTGCTATATAAAATTACCTTGCAATTCTAATAAAGGAATAACATACAAAACAGGATTACACAGTAGGAAATGGGTTCTAGCCTTTTATCTCTCCCTTTTTAAATTGATCTCATGGAAAGACATTGCTTTTGTGCACAATAGTTTATTTCAATATAATTTTATAAATGTGAATAAATGCATACACGGAACTTCAGTATTGTTAGGCAGGGAAATGTAGTACCTGTAGATTCTGATTCATTACAAAGTAGGTGTGTTGGGTGCACAAAAATAATCTAAATACATCTGCACAGTTAAGCAACAGAAACATATGTCTACAGAAAGCTGCACCGTCCTAATATATTTTAGATAGTGACAGAGGTTGAAAGGGAAGCTTGGCTTTATAGTAACTCATTCAGTCTTCCTCTTTAATCATGCACAGAAACATAACTAGTACAGAAGCAAGTTGCAATTGGAGGCCTCAGTAATATCATCACATATTTTTAATTTGGAGCTAATTAGTGTTCCTTATTATCTAAAGTGAGAGCCAGTTAATGCTGTTAAGGCATCAGGCAAGAAACTAGGAAACTGTGAGTTCTAGTTTCACCTTAGACATGAAGTGTCTTGGTGATCTTGGGCCAGTCATCTTCTCTCAGCCCTAGAAAGCAACGCCAAACACTTACCCTTGCCAAGAAAACTGCAGAGACTTGTCCAGACAGCCTGAGAATTGTACAAGACTGAATGGACTAATATAAATCAGAAAGATATTCCCCCCACCCCACCCCCACCCCAAGGAGTAGAATGCTTGGAGCAGCAATTCATCTTCTGCTCCAGGAAAGTCTTAGTTTAGATGACCAATTAATTGCTTTCATTAATTTGGAAAACAGGCCATGGGCACTTTAAAAGAGATTACTCAGTCAGCCTTTATACCAAATTAATACTCCTACATATTTAGATACTGATCAGCATGCACTCCTTACAATCTAGGAGAGGAAAAACACAGCTGCTCTGTCAAACATCAGTTTCCCCATCACTTTCCTAATTCAGGAAAACAAATATGTGATAGGCCTCACTGAAACTTGGTGGGATAATGCTCATGATTCATGCACAGTAGAAGGGTGTGATTTATTCAAAAGAAAGAGACTGAATAGAAAGGATGGGGGCGTTGCATTGTACATGAAGAAAAAATATATTGAACAAAAATTCAGCAGAGAATGGAAGTCCTATAAAAAGTATTTGGGTAACAAAAACAAAAAGAGAAAGGAAAGTGACACCACTGTAGGAGTTTTTTACCGACCACCTGGGTAAAGAAAAGGATTGGATGAGGCCTTCCCACATCAGATGATCAGGCTTTCTCAAAGTCGTGTAATAGGGATAAAAGGGGATTTCAATAAATAATTTATTGTTATCTCTTGCTGATAACTTTGTCAGAAAGTGGAAGAAAGAGCAAGCTTCTTTCTGTTATTGTGGATTTAATCTTCACCAACAGGAAGAACTGGTTGAAAAGATGAAGGTAGCTGGCACCTCTTGGGAAAATGAATGTGTTATCTATCCTTTATTTGTGATAATCAGAAAAGGAAGAACTAAGAAGAGTCCGACTGCATAGTGTACCACGGTACTAAAGAAATACCCTGGTATAGTTCTTGACTTATGACAATTGAGTCCAAAATTTATGTAGCTAAACAAGACAGTTGTTAAGTGAGTTTTGTCCCATTTTATGACCTTTCTTGCCAGGGTTGTTAAGCAAATCACACTGCATTTGCTAAGTTAGTAACACAGTTGTTAAGTGAAATTGGCTTCCCCACTGACTTTGCTTGTCAAAAAGTCCCAAAAGGTGATCACCTGAACCTGGGACACTGCAACTGTCACAAATCTATGCCAGTGGCTAAGCATCTGAATTTTCATTACATGACCACAGGGATGCTGCAACTGTTGTAAGTGTGAAAAATGGTCATAAGTCACTTTTTTCAGTGCTGTTGTAACTTCGAACGGTCACTAAACTGTTGTGCTGTAAGTCAAGGATTACCTGTAGTGCAATGACTGCAAAACCATTTTCAACTCCTGGATGACCAGTGAAGTTCCAGAAAAGAGCAAAGGTTATTTCCAATTTCAAAAAAGAGGAAGGAGGCAGACTCACAGAATGCCAAACCTGTCAATTGTAGCTCTGCCTGCTGCCTTGGGGACCAGATGGGGGTATTCCAGGCTGGAGGGAGCTGCTAGATTGATGGCAGACTCCACCCTCCTGCTCTCTACCAACCATTTTTTTTGCTTACCATATTGATGTATTATTCTCATTTTGTTCCTTTGTCACGGTTTACTTATTGTTCTTTTATTTTACTTCTTTTCTGTTTACATTTTTATTATTGTAAGCTACCTAGAGTAGCCTCATGGCAGAATAGGTGGCAAAAAATTTTAATAAAAAATAGAATTTGTCATCTCATACTAGGCAAGTTTCTCAAGCAGATGATCAAATAGCACGTTATGGGAGCAGGTTAATAATTAACAAAAGCCTTGGCTTTGTTACAACAGAACATTCTGGACTAATCTCATATCCTTCCTTGACAGAGTTACCACCTTATCAGATCAGGGAAATGCTATTCCACATAGAATGGAAGCTAATAGAAAACCAATGCAGCACTCAAAGCAAAGATGCATTGTGCTCCTATTAGGGAATAGGAACTGGATAATAGACTGAATTAAATGAAGCTTTCAAGTGGTAACTTTAAAAGCAACCCATGTTGTAATCTGGGTGAGTGGTGACAATGTTGTAAATCTCTGCAGTAAGATCCTCTTGCTCCAGTTAATGCTGCAACTGTTGCACCAGCTAAAGCTAGCCAAATGCTCTCATATGGCTTTCACCTACTCTTTAGGCAGAAATCACAGATCTGTTCCTTCAGGAGCAGTTCTTTCAACTGTAAGAGATACCGCTGGTATTGCCTGAGCACCCCAGTGGAGAAACAGTAACTTTGTCTTGTTAAAATTCAAAATTAAGTTTGTTCTCTCCCATCCATATTGTGAAGGATATGGGAAACAAAGCTCTATGAATAACAATAAAGGAACTAGGATTATTAAAAGGCAGTTGTTGGGGACATGTAATGTTACTCTTGTTTCCAAATACCTGAAAGGTTGTCATACAGAAGAAAGCCAGATTTCTTCTGTTGCCACAATAGCAATAGCACTTAGACTTATATACCGCTTTATAGTACTTTACAGCCCTCTCTAAGCAGTTTACAGAGTCAGCATATTGCCCCCAACAATTTGGGTCCTCATTTTATCCACCTTGGAAGGATGGAAGGCTGAGTCAACCTTGAGCTTGGTGGGATTTGAACTGTCAAATTGTAGGCCACTGGCTGCAGCAGAAGTACCTTGCAATACTGTACTCTAACCATTGTGCCACAGAGTTCTCTCACAAGCTGGAGAACCAATGCAGATAGCCCTTGTTTAACAACCACTTGTTCAGCAGTGGTTTGAAGTTACAATAGCACTGAAGAGAGGCAGTTATGATCAGTCCTTGAAGTTCAGTGGTTCCCGGGGTTTAGCATTCAGGTGCTTACAGCATCTTGTGGTTATGTGATTGCACATGGCAACATTACCTGTTACTTTCCCACAAGCAATGTCAATGGGGAAGTGGGCAGAGGAGGTTGAAAGTTGATTGGGTAACTCTCCCATCCATATACCTTCTTCCAGCCCTTCTGCACTTATGCCTTCCAACCACCCCCACATACTCAGTGAACCTTACTACGCTTGTGCCACACTTCCCTGTCCTTTGTGCATCTTTGCACACTCTTCCCAAGCCTTCCTGAGATTGTGTCTTTGTGGCCACTTGCATAACTGGCAGCAGCCCCTTACCTGCCTGACAGCTTGCTTACAAGACACCTGGGACTTGCCACTTCCTGCCAGCTTCCCCACTAATTTTAGTTGCTGGAAGCCAACAAGAAGTTGTGATGAAGTTATAGCTTAAGAACCCACAACTGTTGCTTAATTGTGATAACAAGACTGAAGAAATTGCTGTCCCTGAGTAATGCGGTAATATGATGTTGCACTTTATGACTTAAGTGACAGAAATTCCAATCTCAATTGCCACTTTAACTCAAGGACTACCTGTAGGTTTAAATTACAAAGAAGGAGGTTCAAGCTAGACAAACATGAGGGAACTTTCTGCCTGTACAAGGTATAAGCCAATGAAACACGTTGTCACATGGAATGGTGGGTCCTTCTTCAGAAGCCTTCAGACAAAAGACTGGCTGGTCAGAGATACTCTAATACAGGGGTGTCCAACCTTGGCAACTTTAAGACTTGTGGACTTCAACTCCCAGAATTCCTCAGCCAGCAAAGCTCTAATACATCCTGTACCAAGCAAAGAGATGAATCCTACAGTTTCCTATTCTAAGAGTCTATGATTAAGAACTAAAATGATTGTTAGCAATTGCTTTCTGCAACCCAGCATCTCCTTGCTGATTCATTCATAGGATTAACCATGTCTATGGAAATCATCCAGGTCATGGTTGTCCCAAAGGTGCTTTTCCAAGAGGCAACTGGATTTTCTGGTCCAGAAAGTCCAGTTGCCCCTTGAAAAAGCACTTTTGGGACAGTTAGCCGTGAGAAACTTCTGCTCACTTTTCACATTAACAGTGAAAACAGTAATCCTCATTTCTCCTCTTCTCCATCTTACTTTGGCGGAACAGAATTTACCTGGGAGCTGGAGAGCTGCAGAGAACACGACTGACATTCTTACAGCAGCCATTGGTAAATGGGTTTACTCCACCTCGGAACTTGCCTGTAACCTGCAAAGATCAAAAACTGGTTAGGCAAAATTCAGTGAAATGAACAACAAAACAAAATGGGAAATACATACTTGTTCATTGGTAGTGCGACCTCTGGCTACTAGTACCACATGGAAACCTGTAAGGCCAGCCACAGGAATAAAGAACAAACCAGCCACACACATCACGGCCATACTGCAGCAAAGTCAAGGAACAATCCTGAAGGATCACAATTGATTTCTTATCTGGAGATTCATTTCCCACCTGATAAGTGGCACTATCTTAAGGAGATCTAAAAATTCCTTGCCAGGGTTCATTTTTACTGGAGAGCTCCTTTTTTTGGGGGGGGGGGGGCACGGCGGAAGGGAGATTAAAGGATACGTAACAGCCATACGGATTCCAGAGAGTTCTTCCACTTGATATAGGACATACAGTAAACCGAAACCAAACACACCCATGATGTGAGCTGTAAGTGAGAGCAGGAACAGGAAGAAGTAGCGATAATTGCGTCTTCCTATGCAGTTGTTCACCCATGGACAGTGATGGTCAAATTCCTTCCATAGGAAAAAAAAATGTGTTAGGAAAATAATCCCTCTATAAAGCCAGACTATAGTTTATAGATAAAACCATTCTAAACTACATCACATCTGACTACAAATCAAGTATTTATTTCCATTCATTATAGAATGTAAAACATAACTCCCATAAGAATGGAATAACTACAATGAACTCGTAGACCTTTGATCTGATTGACCTTATGCCTTTCCTCTCTTTTCATGTATTCTGTGTGTTCGTGCGTGTTACGTGTGTGTAGACAGACAGATGAGTTTTGACATAAAGAATGTCAGGATATATATTCTTCTACAACCACTCTCTATACAGTTTGTAACATCTAGACAATTTCCCAGGCTTCACAAGCAGAAATAACAAAGTTACTAAACATGTTCCCAAACATTACTGTTTAATTGCTCAGCAGAGAAAATCTGATTCAAATAGTTTCATTCATCTCAGATAACTTTTCTTTGCTTCAGCTCCACAGTGAAATTCTGAAGCATAACAATGTTCTGTCTACACTGACTATGATGAAACAACCAGGGAAGAGTAACCCCACTTTTTGTCAGACTATTGGAATGCTTCCCTCCTTGGCTGATGAATAACCTCCTTCAGACACTGTTTTAAGAACTGCATTCCCCTTCCCACCCCCATATTAGCCAGTGAAAATATGAATGTCTCCCGAGGTTTATATCTGAGGCAACCCATTCTCTAACGCTGTATTTCCAATGTGCCTTGGCCAGCCCCCTCCCCCCCACCATTTTGGCAAATGGATTGTTGTAACTGAAGTGCTTTCCTTCCAAGATGCTTTCAATCTTCAGAGTTACCCTGCTATACACCTTTAAAACAATCCTTTTTTTTTTTTTTTGCTCTGCCAGTCTAAACCCCTCCACATTAACAAATTCTCAATGCCATCTTTAGTAGTTCCAAGATCTTAGAAGGAGCATCTTGTGGCATCTGACAACTTTGGTGTTGAGCTTGGATAATTAATATGTGGTGGCTTATATGTATTGGTATTGCCTGAAGACAAGAAAAATAAACTTACGTTCAATGACTGGTTATACCGTGTTTCTCCAACAGCAGCGGCGGGAACCGTGGAAGCGTTTCAGCTGCTTCTTGGATGGGGGAGCCGCCTCTGTAACTTCCATGGTTCCCGCCGCTGCTGCCGCTGTTATTGGAGACGGCGATGGCAAGAGAGGGACAGCTGCAGCTCGGCCTGGGCACTTGGAATGCAGGAATGGACCGAGGCTGGAGCACCAAGGGTTACAGCAGCAGAAACGCTCCCTCGGCTCTTCTCACGCCCACCCAGCCGCTCGGGATTAAACCAAAACGCAATGCACGGCGCTCCCAGGTACCTCAAAATGTTTTTTTTTTCCTGTTGTTACGGGGACAGGGGAAAAGTGGGAGTGACTCAGACGCTGTTGTTGGAGACGGCACTAGTGTGCTGGGGGATGGGTGGGAGAGAAATTAATTCACCCCCAAAAAGACATCCTAGCCATTTGGGGGGGGGGGGGGGGGAAAAAAAAAAAAAAAAACAGAGAAACAGGGTATGTATCTTGTGACTAAGGTATAATGTGAAAACAGGTGAAACTCCAATCCTACTTAAGCTAAGCAGGTCTGGGGCTATTCAAATGCTGGGTGGGAGGAATCTGAAAAGCTTATGCACATCACCTTAAATTCCCATTTCTGGAAAAAGGTGACTAAAAACAAGGAACACCATTCTTTCTGAAAGCTCTTATTCCCTTCTCCTCCCCCTTTTTCTTTCTCAAGATTACATTATAAAACCTGACACTCAATACTCAATTTCTGGGATTGATGAAAAACAGCCCAGATTAATGCCAAACACCATCCCATGTAGAATAAGCATTTCCAATTTCTTTAGTGGAGCTCTCTTCTCATTTTATCTTCTTACCTCCACACAGTTATCACAGACACTACAATGGGAGCAGCGTGGTGGCCGGTAGAATCTGCATGTTGCACACCATTTCATGCGTACTTGAATACCCTTTATTTCCACAGTTTTGTATAGGGGAGCTCGGAAATCATCCTCCTTATCCTCATCTTCTTCAGCTACATGAGAAGAAAACCATCAAATGCAATAGGAGGGAAAGAAAAAAAACCCGAGAATCAGTATCTTTCCACCTTCCAGATTTGTAATGATAAATATATAACTGATGGCAAGAGAGATTTTTTTCAGAATGTGGAAACCAAAATTTATTATAGGTAGTCCTCTATTTATAACTGTTTGTTTAGTGACCATTTGAAGTTACATCAGCACTGAAAAAGTGACTTATGACTGGTTCTCACACTTATGACCATGGCTACATGATCAAAATTTGGGCAACTGGCATGTATTTATGACTCCGCACTCTCCCAGGGTCATGTGACCAAGGTTTGCAACCTTCCCAGTCAGCTTCTAACAGGCAAAGTCAATGGCAGAAGCCAGATTTGCTTAAGGAACGCATGATTCATTAATCAACTGTGGCAAAAAGGTTGTAAAATGTACAACTTACTTCAAAACTGCCTTACTTAGCAATGGAAATGTTGGGCTCCCTTGTGGTCATACATCAAAGACTAATTTTATAGGCTGTTGACTGAAGCAGTCAAAACAACCTGAATTATATAATGTAAGCAATGCACCAATAATCTAGCCTGTAAGTCAGACTCCCTGGCAAAAGGAACCAGGCAATAAAGGAAAAGAGCAATGCTATGTGTTCACTGTTAAAACTGACCAAGTATTTAAAATTCTCAATATTCATTCTTAGAGCTATATTAGAAAGGCAAAGATTTGCATTTTTACAGGTAGTCATCCACTTATGATGGAACAGAATTTCCATTGTTAAGCAAGGCAGTTATTAGGTGAACTACACACAATTTTATATCACATATGTTAAGTGAATGATGGCAATTGTAAAGTAAATTGTGTGGTCATTAAGCAAATCCAGCTTGCCCCCACTGACTTTGCTTGTCAGAAATCAGCTGGGAAGGTCACAAGTGGTGATCATGTGACCCTGGGACACTGCAACCATCACAAATGCATGCCAGTTGCCAACACCCAAATTTTGATCATGTGACTGTGGGGAACGCCACAACAACCATAAATCTGAGGAACAGTTGTAAGTCACTTTTTTCAGTGCTGTTATAACTTCTAACAATCGCTAAATGAATGGTTGTAAGTTGAAGACTACCTGTATTGTGATAAAAAAAATCTTATACAAATGTAAAAAAGAAAATGCCTGACAGATGAAAAAAATGAAATAACCGTAGTCAAAATCCCCATTTTTAGATGTATGATTTGCAAGAAACTGGAACAATGCTTACCTCTGGGGAATATGCCAGGATCCATGAAAGTGGCCATACTGAAGTTGGCCAGCACAAAAAGGAAGACCACAGCATTGTAAATGGGTATGATTGGGGAGATGTAAATGCTGAGTCCTGGACACCTGTACAAGAAAAAGCAGCCCAAAACAAAAAGCATTACTCTCTCAACTTTATTAATTGCATTTGATATTCAAACATTTTCCTTAATAACTATATACTGGCAGTTTGTCATTGCAAATTTGTTCAGAAGCTCATGGAACCAATTAGCAGAGAGAAAGTATTATTATACTCAATTAACAAAATTACCTAAATATATAACATTTAATCTGAAACAAAATATGATTTTCTAACCTCACTGGACAATTTGTAGCTAACCTAACTCACAAGTGCACCTTCAAATTTATAGTAGACCTACTGTACCAGAGTAGACAATTTCGAGGTGATACTCCTTCAACATGTATATTGGGCGTATATTGCATCCACTATGTAGAACAATAATCTCTTCTCCCACAAGAGAAGCTGTGCAAGAATGCTATTTAGATTGTTACAAAAACAATGCACTAACCCTGAACATCAGGAAAAGGAATCAGAACACTTATACAACATCTTGCAACAAAATGGATACCACCCTGCAAATTTATCAAAAAGTGCCTAACCACTCAACCCTTTACAGCACAACCAACGCAAGCTTTGAAAAAAGATAACTTTGCTATACATCAAAACATATAAGAAACAACCAACAAACTATTGCAACCACATCGCCATCATAGTAACACACCAACCAACTAAAGGCCTCCAAAATATCTTAAGTACCGGTAAATCAAAACACCCTGTAGCCCAGAAAAACAGGAATCATCTACAATCTACCGTGTAAGGACTCTAATATAGCCACTATGTAGGACTGATGGGCAGAAGACTAGGTGTGATGATCCGTAGTCTCTCAAAATAACCCCAAACCCAAAACATACATTAAAGTCTGGTAAAGTCTTCAACTTAACTTCACTGTTTTATTAGGCACAGTTTAAAGTCACAAAAGTAAATAATGAGGCAAAAGGAAACCAAAACAAACCGCATTGACGAGAGTTCCGAAGCAAGCCAAGATAATTAATCATACATTCCAGGAAGATAACGGGAAGAGTCCATGGGAAGAACACCAACAAAGATAAACCTCTTTCAAAGGAAACACTAAATTTTGACTCCAGCAATTCTGACTACGCAGTTACAAACTTATATACATAGCTCCCAGCTGCAAGCCACAAAGAGGATCATGGTAATTTCCTCCTGAGTAGACCTCGCTTTTCCCTGATCCTCTCCTCCCTGCGTGCCCTAGGGTGGATAGGGGATGGGCCTGGATCCTCCTCTGATTGCTCAGCCGGCCTCTGACCTCCCCAGCTTCCTCCACCGCCTCTGGAGCCACACTCCCACTCCCTGTTGGCTGTTCCTCCTCTTCCTCAGAGTCCGTCTCCAACAGGGGCATGACACTAGCAGAGTGCATCCATCCACACCAGCTAGTAGTCAGAAGACATGATGAAAACTCCTTAACTGCACAACACATGGACAATCTTAAGCTTAAGTTTCAACTAGGAAATATGAGCATCCTAGACCAAGATAAGCCCCCTCACCCCCAAATGCTAGAGAATTCCTGGAAGCCTGGCACTGAGACAAATCAGCTATCAGCAGGCACATGGAAATAAGCAACATTTACATATCAATCAAAAATGACAATCAAAAAGCTAAAAAGGAAACAAAAGATCAAAAACACCTCACCAGCAAGGAACACTCAGATAAGCAGGGATTAACACCAAAATTAATAGCAGAACAACTACCAAGAAGTAACCAAATCCCTCAATCAAGGGACTACCAACTCAGACAAACAATCAAGCAATAAACAACAGCCACTTTTAGCACTGAAGATGTTACTTACCTGGGTAACAAAATGTTTGCAAAAAAACAACAACCAAGCATAGAGAGCACCAAGGACTCTTCAGTTCAAGCCTGAGCTACAAATTTATTTATTGAATTTATATTGCCGCCTATTTGCCCATGGTGTCTCAAGGCAGCTTACAGAATGTAAAACCATATTTAAAAATAAAATAAAAAACTAACAAAAAGAATCAAATTAATAAAGTACAACAAAATCTGAAAAAAATAAAAAAATCACCCAACTTCCCCGAGATGTTCTCTTCTTAGTATTAAAACCTATCTGTATCTTTTCATAATATTTCATAATATTATAAAGCAACAATTTCCCACTTAGATTCAGATTCTTTAGTCATTAGAAGATCTCATGCAGAAATACATCACCTACTGAGATATTTCTTTATATCCAGATTGCTAAACCTAGTATTCATTCAGTGATGAGCTTAACAAAATGAAATAATTCTCTATTCCAACTGACAAAAAAGCTCCTCAATAATGTTGCCATTACATTCAGCTCAAAAGAGGGAATATCTTTTTTTTTTAATTTATTGCCATTGACAATAAATTTCTACAGAGGAATGTGCACTGTGGATGTGACAGATTGGGCTCCAAACAATAATAAAAGTATTATACCCTACTGTCTCCTTTCCTGGGAAGAGCCACTTTGATAATAGTTCCACCAGTCATTTTTTCCCTGGAGAAATCCCTTTCTGTTCTTGGTTTACTTGGGAGAAGGAAAATAGCAACCTTTACATCAGGAAGGGGATAGTCCTCAAACAGGGGTCCTCAAACTTGGCAGCTTTAAGACCTCGGCCATATCTGGCTGAGGAACTCTGGGAATTGAAGTCCACAAGTCTTAAAGTTGCCAAGTTTGGAAACCTCTGGTCTAAAAGCTTCCCACAAAGTAAATGTGCTAATTAGGTATGAAATTAGAACAAGGTTTATAATAAAAGCTGCAAAAGAAAGGGAAAAAATGATTCCCAAAGAGGTTTATTTCAGTCACTATCCCTTCACTCATCTCTTACCTATTCTATAACTCTCTATTCTTCTTCATGGATTTCTGCAGGTTGGGGTTTCCTTTCTTACCTAGCTTTTTCAGCTAGCCATCAATATTTGCCTCCTTTTAAATAAAAAGCCTTCTGATAGGCTCTTCCATAACTGATTAACTCAGGCCCCCTATTTATATTGACTAGTCAGCTCACTTTTTATTAACAGTGTACTTTTCCCTGCAAGTCTAGAACACAATAAATGTTGAACCAATCAGTGGTGGGATTCAAAGATTTTTAACATCGGTTTGGCGGGTGTGGCTTGGTGGGTGCGCTTTGCACACGTGCGCCAAATGCGCAGGTGCAGAGGTGTTTGTGCAGGTGCAGAGGCATTCAAACTCACCTCCTGCAAGCCTACACTCTCCCTGTCGCTTCAGCAGCCACCGTGCAGCACTCTTCTGTGCCACGCAAAGCAGCTGCATTTCAAAAGCAGGGAATAAAGGTGAGTATGGGAGCCCGGGCGGGTGGGCCCAACACCAGAACGGCAGAGAGAACCAGTTCAGACTCTGCTGTTCATCAGTGCTACCGTCTCGGCAGAACCGGGCCAAACTGGTAAGAATACCACCACTGGAACCAACCAATCTGACCATCACAGAGAGTTCCATCTCAGGAATGCTTCTAAGAGAACAGACCACATCTTATATACATACTAATTTCTCAGTGGGGAAGATCTGATGAAGATTACAGATCATTTCAAAAGGGGCTGTATTCCAATTATATAGCATTAGCAACTGTAGTGAATAAGACAAATCCCATTCTAAGAAGTTCAGACACTGACCATTGAGCAAAAATTAGCTGATCTGTCAATCTAGGTAGTGGCCAGAGACAATTGAGCCTCAGAAAAACCGAAGGCTGAGAACCAAACAAATGAAGTTTAGCTTGAGCTGAAGACAAGCTCCGTTTTCTTTCTGTCTCTTTTTCCTCCATGTCTCAGGAGTGGAAGTACCTTTTCAAAATGGTGGAATTGAAAATCAGGTTAAAAAAGAAAAATACCAGTCCATAGAAATGTGAATTAGAAATCAGGGAATTATACTGCATGCTGAGGAATAATGAAAGCAAGAAGTAGATCAGATTATTCTATTACTTGATAGTGGTTTTCATTGCAGAGCAGTGTCTGATTCTGACTGAAGGAACAGAAACGGAAATCAATCTTTAAAGAAGTCATTCTTCATTTTTTATTTTTTTTCTTTGTTTGTCTCTTTTCAGTTTCTTCTTTAATCTGTATTATGTTAATGTACCATAACATAATCTTGATGGACCGATAAGATTAGCGTTAGCACACATTTTTCCTTCTCCAGTCAAGTTGGGCAGTAGGGATGGATTTCAGTGGAATGCAGGCTAGTCAAAAAGGCAGAGGGGAGTTAAAGCACATGATGTAGCTGTAAATGCAGGTGGGGGGGGGCAAGCACCCACATTTTTATCACAAGGCCCTGAAACGTCTTTAACTTCAAGGACTGTTTGAAAACTACTATTTGTTCAGCACTATTTAACTTCGAATGGTTGCAGAATGAGTGGTTGGTAAGTGAGGACTATGTTTTTCCTCAATTTACTCAGTTCTGTGACATTGTAATCACTACTGACTTTTTAAATGTAAAGAATAAACAGTTGGGCACCTAGTCAAAATACTTTGCTGGATATCCTGAACTTTCTAAAAGCAACTGCAACTTGCTTTGTCAAAGAAGAGGACTTAGCAAGAAAGGAAAACAAGACAAGCTAGTCTGACTAGATGGATAGGGAGAACAAGAATATGTTGCACTAAAGCTAATGACTGGAAGGGAAGCACAGCAAAAGCCCTCTTAGAATCAAGCTAGATAATCCTTAAATGTTTACTAATGTACTGAAGATATTAATGGAACAGAGATAAAACTATATTAGAGCAAACTCATTTTAATTTTTAATGGAACAGAAAAAAAAACCTCTCTGTGCTTTAATGAAATAAGGGAATAAATAGCCTTAGGATCCAAGACAGCTTACCTGAATGTAGATATAATGAAGTATGAAATTTTATCATGGGCAGAGACTTCAGATTTATCATTAATAATTCAGTTCAACATTGCTTCCCCATAACTGAATATAAAAAATATCTACCTGCTTTTGAAGCTAAAATACAAATGATTCTACACCGAATAGTTGCACATAACTACTACCTTCTATAG